TGGAGCCACAGTCGGTGGCTTCCTCTGTTCCTGAGGTGGAGCCACAGTCGGGGGCTTCCTCTGTTCCTGAGGTGGAGCCGCAGTTGACGGCTTCCTCTGCTCTGGATGTGGAGCCGTAGTGGGCGGACCTGTTGCAGAGCTGCGGGAGCGGAGACGGCGTCCTTCCCGGTGCTTCCTGCTGAAGCAGAGGTGACACCCTCCTCCAAGGCCCCTGCAGCTTTGAGTCTCTGCTCTGCTGCCGGTTTCATGGCCGGCCACCTAAGACTTTTCCTGGCATCCCTGGTTCGCCCTTCGCCCTCCATGGGCGAGTTTTTTTTTTTTTCTTTTTTCTTTGGGGCGTCTGGAGGGGGGGGTACTGTCAGGATCCGGGACTTTGCCCACCAGAGGGCGCCGTGGATCCAAGCCTGGGGAGCTTGGACTCAGCTTAATCAGCTGTTTGATATTCTGCTGATTAAGGAAGCTCCCTATATAAGCTGTATGTGATTTTCTCTCTGTGCTGGATCGTGTGTCTTACCTGTGCCACCATACCTGTCTGAGCCTTGAACCTGTGATTCTTCTGAGTTCCAATAAATATTGGACTTTTAATCCTCCCTCTGTGTCTGTGAGTCTGCATATGGGCTAGTAAAACCAACGCATCATCACAGAATTCTGACATTTGTTTTTTTAATTCTGTGTTTAATCTCAGAATTCTGACTTTTTTCTCAGAATTCTGACATTTGTTTTTTTAATTCTGTGTTTAATCTCAGAATTCTGACTTTTTTGACTTTTTTTTATTTTAATTTCAGAATTCTTACTTTTTTCCCATTTTAAACTGAAATTATATTTAAAAATCAGTTAACTGTTTTTTTGTTGTTGTTGTTTTTTAGTGACCCTAATCCTCTTCCGTAAAATTTTATTTTGTCGCATAAAAAGGTAAATAAGTGATAGGTAATATAAATAGGTAAATAAGATGATTTGCCAATGGAATGAGTATTTTTATTCTTATAAAAAAGGACAATTAGATAATATGCACTCGAAATAAGAAAGTGCAATTGTTTTTTTGTTTTATTTTAAATGTAAATTGTCTTGTTCCATTGGCAAAGTGTCTCTTTTACCTCCTCAATTCAAAACTAAATGCTCTTATTTTCAGAAAAAATGACTTATTTAGATTTCCATTTTTTGCAGTGTATAATGCAGCACAGAAACGTGTGGGAATAAAACTATGAGGTGCCCCCAGGGACATAAATCAGAATTAACTTGCATATACACATATTAAATTACACTCTTCCATATACAGGTGCTGGTCATAAAATTAGAATATCATGAAAAAGTAGATTGATTTCAGTAATTCCATTTAAAAAGTGAAACTTGTATATTATATTCATACATTACATACAAACTCATATATTTCAGATGTTTATTTTGTTTAATTTTGATGATTACAAATGACAACAAATGAAAATCTCAAATTCATCATATCAGAAAATTAGAATATTACTGAAGACCAATAAAAACAAAGGATTTATAGAAATGTTGGCCAACTGAAAAGTATGAACATGAAAAGTATGAGCATGTACAGCACTCAGTATTTAGTTGGGCCTCCTTTGGCCTGTATTACTGCAGCAATGCGGCGTGGCATGGAGTCGATCAGTCTGTGGCACTGCTCAGGTGTTATGATAGCCCAGGTTGCTCTAATAGTGGCTTTTAGCTCTTCTGAATTGTTGGGTCTGGTGTATTGCATCTTCTTCTTCACCATACCCCATAGATTTTCTATGGGGTTAAGGTCAGGAGAGTTTGCTGGCCAATTAAGAACAGGGATACCATGGTCCTTCAACCAGGTACTGGTAGCTTTGGCACTGTGTGCAGGTGCCAAGTCCTGTTGGAAAATGAAATCTGCATCTCCAAAAAGTTGGTCAGCTGCAGGAAGCATGAAGTGCTCTAAAACTTCCTGGTATGTGGCTGCGTTGACCCTGGACCTCAGAAAACACAATGGACCAACACCAGCAGATGACATGGCACCCCAAACCATCACTGACTGTGGAAACTTTACACTGGACTTCAAGCAACGTGGATGAAGTGCCTCTCTTCTTTTCCTCCAGACTCTGGGACCTTGATTTCCAAAGGAAATGCAAAATTTACTTTCATCAGAGAACATGACTTTGGACCACTCACCAGCAGTCCAGTCCTGTTTCTCTTTAGCCCAGGCAAGACGCTTCTGACGCTGTCTGTGGTTCAAGAGTGGCTTGACACAAGGAATGCGACAGCAGAAACCCATGTCTTTCATACGTCTGTGTGTGGTGGTTCTTGAAGCACTCACTCCAGCTGCAGTCCACTCTTTGTGAATCTCCCCCACATTTTTGAATGGGTTTTGTTTCACAATCCTCTCCAGGGTGCGGTTATCTCTCTTGCTTGTACACTTTTTTCGACCACATCTTTTCCTTCCCTTCGCCTCTCTATTAATGTGCTTGGACACTGAGCTCTGTGAACAGCCAGCCTCTTTAGCGATGACCTTTTGTGTCTTGCCCTCCTTGTGCAAGGTGTCGATGGTCGTCTTTTGGACAACTGTCAAGTCAGCAGTCTTCCCCATGATTGTGTAGCCTATAGAACTAGACTGAAAGACCATTTAAAGGCTTTTGCAGGTGGTTTGAGTTAATTAGCTGATTAGAGTGTGGCACCAGGGGCCATCAATTTTGAACCTTTTCACAATATTCTAATTTTCTGATATGATGAATTTGAGATTTTCATTTGTTGTCATTTGTAATCATCAAAATTAAACAAAATAAACATCTGAAATATATGAGTTTGTATATAATGTATGAATATAATATACAAGTTTCACTTTTTAAATGGAATTACTGAAATCAATCTACTTTTTCATGATATTCTAATTTTATGACCAGCACCTGTAATATACTGAAAACCTCACACAAACACTAGTAAAAAGCTCTCACATAAACTAGTGAAAACATTTACCTCTTATATATTCTACTTAAAAGCTCTCACACAAAGTAGTGAGAACTGTTCATATAAACTGGTGAAAAGCTTTACCTTTCATACACACTACTAGAAAGCTTTCATATACACTATTAAAAAGCTCTCATATACACTACTAGAACGCTCTCATATACACTACTAGAATGCTCTCATATACACTATTAGAAAGCTCTCATATACACTATTAGAAAGCTCTCATATACACTACTAGAAAGCTCTCATATACACTATTAGAACGCTCTCATATACACTATTAGAAAGCTCTCATATACACTACTAGAAAGCTCTCATATACACTATTAGAACGCTCTCATATACACTATTAGAACGCTCTCATATACACTATTAGAAAGCTCTCATATACACTATTAGAACGCTCTCATATACACTACTAGAAAGGTCTCATATACACTATTAGAACGCTCTCATATACACTACTAGAAGGCTCTCATATACACTACTAGAACGCTCTCATACACGCTACTAGAAAGCTCTCAAACACACTACTGGAAAGCTTTCATACACACTATTAGAAAGCTAAAATATATGGTCCCCCTCCTTTAATTTAGGCAAACATTGCTCAAATATCACCGAATCCAGATGGTTTGTTGTTGATGAAGAGAGGAATAAACACAGTTTAAGATTTGCAGCTAAATTAATTTGTTTCCATATTATGGAACTGCTATCAGGCACTTCCCATCATCTTATATCAGTAATAAAAAATTATAAATACAAATTTGGTATTTGGTGACTTGACTTTTATTTCTGTCAGGCTGAAGTGAAAAAACTTGGAAAGAGACTGATTCTCTTGGCGTTTAAAATAACAAGACAAAACAGCATAAGAAAACCGCATTTATTTTTTTTATTTTAAAATTTTGTAAACAACAGCGGCTGATTAAACTAAATGTCTCAACCTTGTATAATTTTACGACTTTTTATTTAACCAAGAAATGATCCGAAAGGCCTGGGAAATGATCAGATCCGCTTATGTGGCTGCAATGTGCGGCGCGCTCCCGACACAGGTGGAACAGATTTTCACATGGGAACAGAATTTCGCACAACACCGGAAAAGGATCTCAGTTGAAGCAAAAACATAAAAAATAAAGTCGAGTAATGCCCATGCTTCTGTGAGTTGTTTAGCGGATAGCTGAGCATGAATCAATAATTTTATTTGATACAATTTCGGCCGGAGATAGCACAAAATGTACGGAGCTAGCCAGAATGACCTCCGTTTAAAACAACTTCCGGTGTAATGACGGTCCTTCCTGTTTCACTGAAACACCTTCCGTTTCAACTGAAATCCGCTAATAGCTTTTCAGTAGTGTGTATGAGAGCTTTCTAGTAGCGTGTATGAGAGCGTTCTAGTAGCGTATATGAGAGCTTTCTAGTAGCATGTATGAGAGCTTTCTAGTAGCGTGTATGAGAGCGTTCTAATAGTGTATATGAGAGCTTTCTAATAGTGTATATGAGAGCTTTCTAATAGTGTATATGAGAGCTTTCTAATAGTGTATATGAGAGCTTTCTAATAGTGTATATGAGAGCTTTCTAATAGTGTATATGAGAGCGTTCTAATAGTGTATATGAGAGCGTTCTAGTAGTGTATATGAGAGCTTTTTAATAGTGTATATGAAAGCTTTCTAGTAGTGTGTATGAAAGGTAAAGCTTTTCACCAGTTTATATGAACAGTTCTCACTACTTTGTATGAGAGCTTTTGAGTAGAATATATAAGAGGTAAATGTTTTCACTAGTTTATGTGAGAGCTTTTTACTAGTGTTTGTGTGAGGTTTTCAGTATATTATATGGAAGAGTGTAATTTAATATGTGTATATGCAAGTTAATTCTGATTTATGTCCCTGGGATTACCTCATATAAAACAGTCTGTAGAGTATTAGAAACAATGCCAATCAGCACAGAGACACAGCCGTAGTAAAAGGGTGTCTAACAGACACAGCATGGTTTAGTATTGTTGTTCGCCGTGACGCGCATCCATCTGGAAAAGGAGGAGGAGCAGAAGGAGGACTTTGCGCATCGTCGGTGCCAATAGCAGCAGCGCTATCTAATTAAACTCCTTCCGCGTAATCCTAACCCCCCCCATTTAAATCCACTCTATCGGCACACATCCCTTAAACCCACAGCTCTCCTCCTGTCTTCTGTCCGCGCTGCTGTCCCGGTCTGTGCCTGTGGAGGAGGGCGAGGAGCGCAGCGGCTGGCTGCACGGTGACATGCTCTGCAGGCTTCAGCTGCTGTAGCTCCGCTCACTTTCATATACTGGGACCTTTTTTCTTTTGTTTTTCTGCATGTGTGTCAGTTTTTTTTGTGTGTGTAAACAATAAGGAGATCTGGTTAGAGATTATTATTTTTATTATTAAATCCAGTCCCGGAGGAAAGCGTCCAGTGCGAGCCGAGCATCCACCGCATCTCCATCCACTCAGCAGGGGAAGACCCTTCACAACCGGTAAGGAAAGACACCCCCCTCTCCTTTAGCCGTGTTTGCATCAACCTTATTACTTACTGGACTGAATGAATGGGAAGCAGAGCCGCTTTTGTTGTGCTTCCTCGGCTGCATGATGACAAAAAGACAAACCAGAAATAAAATAAATAACAACATGAGCTAAAAACATCCCCCCCTGCATCCTCTCGGGGTCATTTACCAAACTAAAACACGTGCTTGAGCGCAGTTTAAGATGAAATGCGCACAGTTCCTTGGCTCTACGAGGCCTCCAGTTCTTTATGAAGGATCTTAACATGGGACGAGAGGCTTCCTCTCTGCAACTCTTTGGTTTTACTCTCAGAAGGAAAGAAAGAGTTGTGATGAGTTTAAACTTGCAGAATATGCGTCTTTCATTTGTCAAAATTTATATTTATCTTTTTATATATATATTTTTAAGGAAGAACGTTTCTTAAATAATGCACAACATGGACAGAATTATGAAAAAAGTCTAAAAGTCACACCCAAATTTACCAAGATACTGCAGTAGCCCATCCAGCCCTGTATGCCCTGGTGTGCACTGCAAAAATATTCTAAAAAATTATTTTAATATTTCATAAGATAAGTGTATTAGCCTGTAATTTAATCAGCTAAAGTGTCTTTATCCTCAGAATTAGATATGCATCAAACTGGATATCGGCTCCGATATTGACTAATTAAATGGATCAGATATTGGATTTGATATTGGATATCGGGGATCCCATCCATTGGACTTTACATGGAGATGTTTCTCTCTTATTGCTGCTTTTTGCTGCTTACCACAGTGTTTACACCAAGGCTGAAGTCTTCACTCACATGGCAAGATGCACGGTTCATCCTTTCAACAGCTAAATCAGATCAGTAACGGATATCGGCTCTATCCAAAATAAGATAATTAGATAATAAGCAGCTTTATTTCATATCCCTTTGACAATTTATATAACTTATTAAATCAAAGGTAATCTGTAGGCTACTAATTAAGATACTTACTTAGATTTACATTTTTGTAGTGTAATTCTGTTACTAAAGTGGAAAAAAACAAAGACATAGCTGTGAAGCAGGTTAAGCTAGACTTAGGCAACATAAAAAATATCAAAACATGTTAAGCGTACTGGGGTTAAGAGGGTAGGACCAAAGTTGGTTATTTTTAACTGAATTTCATTCATGTTTTTAACCTAAAGATTATAACTTATTGATCTTTGGTAAATTAGGTCCAACAATCCAGTGTATTCTCATTATAAGTTCGTATGAAATCGTACGAAAAGTTATGCACCGTAATTTCGTACGTTTTGGACGTTTTTTTCGTCGTATGCGCATCTTATGCACCATTCAAGAACAGAATTTAAAATACAATTAGCCCTAACCCTAAACCTACACTTAACCCTAAGATATAAAACAGCAAGCAACGTAGTTGGAGACATGAAGAAGTAAATTTTGCACTGTTTTTCCCAGTTTTACGTCCGTCCGCGGATCCGTTTTTTTTGTCTGTCTGCCTGCGCATGCGCACTGATCAGGTTTTTTGAGGAAAAACGTCCAAAACGTACGAAATAGTGTGCATAACTTTTCGTACGATTTCATACGAACTGATAATGAGAATATGTTGAACAATCACAGCCATTTTTATTTCTATTGGTTGGATGTGAATGACTATTAGTGATGCTGGCAGGATTATGTGGTGTAAAAGTGAAGCAGGGAAGCAAAGAGAGCATTGTGGTAATTCTGGTTTTGCAGTGTTGAAAGAGGAGGGAATCAGTTATCAGTCATAACAATAAGTTCACGTTGGTTTAAGTTACCAGCTGCCCCCTCACACACCCTCATTTAGCAGAGTCTGGCATTTAGGTTATGAGTCAGGGGTCCGATAGCCCTCCCCCTTGGAGACGTAAAATATGGCCTCTTTGAATTATCAGCTGTCGTCTGCATCTCTGCAACTTCACAAGTCGGCCTGAGCCCTACTCTACCTCTACTGATAACATGATATATTTTCCCGAACATCTTCTTTTCCTAAATGCCACCCAGCTGTTGCACGCCTTCTGTGTTTAATCCTCGGGGATAAAACAAGTTTCTGTCAGGCTTTGCGTCATGCACAGACCATTGGAATTACTGCTAGCGGTTATCTGCTCTTTAGAAAAAAAGAAATCCATGTCTCATGTTGTCATTTGGATCAATCTCTGGAGCAGGTGATAGCGATAAGAACAGCGAGACGCATTGAGTCCGACTGCAGGTTAATGAGACTGCCGAGGTGTGGCCCTCCGCACAAATTGATCCATACTCGTGTGCTCAGGGGAGCAGACATACTTTCTTATCAGGCAGCATTTGTGGCCACCTATGCTTCGCAGGGTTGTGGCAATTATTCAGCCTGCATATGCTTATGCGAGTCAAGTTGTTACATAAGAGGATAAATGTGCGCGGAGCATTACTTTCTGTGTCGCTTCGACTCATAAGCACACATGCATGCAAACCCATTTTCCTCTGCTTGTAGAGGTGTTTCTAACCCCCCCCCCCCCCCCCCCCCCCGATGGTGTTATACCCCCCTCACATTACTGATGTGCAGGTGAAGAGTTCTGGAGAGGACAGGTATCAATAACCAGGGCAAAAACTGAGGGACCTGCTTTGAAAACCCTGCTGTCTGTGCATCTCTCATGTGTGTACAATGCACTTCTGTATGCGCCCTGTTCTCTAGGCTTTCACATTAACATGACCAATGCATCTCTCCTCATATGAATGACCTTGCTTTCATTTGACGCTGCCAGAAATCCTGACATGCTGCCCTCACTGGTATAGAAGGAATACATAAGTAAAGTGACTTTGAAAGCAGGATTCAACGTGGTCACATGATCACAGGCTGAGGCACAACAGCTTAGAGGTTAATTATATATTTTACTGTTACTGGGAATAAAATCTTAGCTACACTTCCAAAGGGAAATCCTTGTTTTTACATATTTTTTGGAAGCTTAGAGACAAATATTTTCTGATATCTCTATTCCTTTGGCAGAAAATGCATAATTGAATACAGAAAAAGAAAGAAGCTGAGCACACAGCAAAATCGATTGGCTTTGTATAAAAGTAGTTAATTTAACACTTTTGTCAAATTCAACTATGCTAGAGTTAGTTCCTCCAAAGGGTTGGCGTTGATCCACGGAGTTAAATTCAAGCATCTCTGTTGACTGTTGATTTTAAAATGAACATTTAGCAGCGTTTCTCCCAGAATACCAACCTATCTGTATACTTTGGATTTTTGGTTTGTTCTGCAACTGGAGGGATGCCAGTTGGAACACCAGCTCAGTCACTGTGCAAGCAGGACACTAGACTCGCACTGGTGAAGTTTAAATGGTGTTCATAGAGCCCACTGTTCCTCTCAGTCTGCATTCCACAAAGCATAGAATTAATTACCACCTATGCTGATGATACTTTGATATATTTGTCAAATCTTGATAAGTGTCAACATTTGACACTATATACCAGAGTTAGCTCAATTCGGCCCTGATAACTGTCAAATTTAAACTATTAAAAGTATTTTTTATTGTGTTAACTGTTTAGCATTTTCAAAAGGGCTAGTTTAAATCAATCTAAATGGGTCAATATATGAGTGTTGAATTTAACTCTGTAGAAGTTGAATGACCACTTCCAAAACTGGGATGCAGTATAATTTCCTTTTAAAAAAATCTTTAAATCCTTTTAAGGATACAACCTCACAGCTAAATATAGGTTCATTTTGAATTGACAAGTATGGAACATAATGGAAAAGAAGACATTTTTTTTTCCTCATAAGAAAAGTACAACATGTGTCAGATGGGTCAATTCAGTTTATTTCTATAGCGCCAATTAACAATAAATGTCATCTGAAGGCACTTTACAGTTCAACCAGATCATACAGTCAAATTGATACAAAGTTTTCTATCTAAGGAAAACCAGTTGATTGCATCGACTCATTGACTCGAAGGCAATCTCTCACACTAAGCATGCTTGTAGCGACAGTTGAGAGGAAAAACTCCCTTTTAACAGGAAGAAACCTCCAGCAGAACAAGGCTCAGTGTGAGCGGCCATCTGCTGAGGCCGACTGGGGTTCAAGGAGACAGAAGCAGAGATACAAAAAGGCAACTATAAACTAGCTACACTTCTAAAATATTTATCAAAATGAAAAGCTACATCTTTTATATCATCAACGTGATCTTTATTATGAACAGTGATGGGACTAACGGCGTTGAAACTAACGGCGTTACTAACGCCGTTACCTTGTTTTAGTAACGAGTAATCTAACTAATTACTTTGACTGTAACTATAACGCAGTTACCATTGCAGGCACCCCGTTACTGCGCGTTACTCAGGTCGCACAATGAACCTTTATTCATGATAAGACTCGTGCGCAGCTGCGTGAAGCAGGCACTCAGATGGAGAGTGAGGATGACTCCAGCAGCAAAACAGCGTTTTCCACATGGAAATACCGGTGTTACGTCGAGCTGCGTTTCCCCATCACATAACGGTTTCCTCTGCATCTCCGCACAGCGCAGGCGGCAAGAGTCATAAATGCTAATAAATGCTAAACTCTCTGCAGGTTCTTGTCTTTGTCGTTCGCTCTATTCAGCTGGCTTTGGAAACACATGGCGAGAAGGTGGGGGCCGGGTGGTGAGGGTTACGGGGGCGAGAAACGCAAAAGTAACGCAATAGTTACTTTTACTAGTAACTAGTTACTTTTATTGTGGAGTAACTCAGTTAGTAACTCAGTTACTTTTTGGGAGAAGTAACTAGTAACTATAACTAATTATTTTTTCAAAGTAACGTGCCCAACACTGATTATGAACTATCGAAAAAAGTTTGCAGACACATTTTATTGAATTTATATTTACATCCAGTAATTTGCTGTCACATCTTCTTTGACTATCCTTAAAAATGGGAACTCATGTATATATTTTTTTGTATTTATCCTCAGCAAATATTAATCTACATTTTATGAAATTTCTATATATAGATTTATTTTACTCCACAGCTGT